GAGTGACTTTTATGATACATTAGATGGGTGTTTGGCTGATGTGGGGGATGTAGAGACAATTATTTATGGAGACTGGAACACGGATATGCAACGTAAAGACACGTCCGTCTTCAAGTCCTTCAGTAGGATTTGTGATCTACACGGCTTCAGCCAGCTAATCACCCAACCCACCCGGGTATGTGAAACAACTCAAACTACCATTGATCTCATTCTGACCTCTGACAGGTCCAGGATCTCCAGTAAAGGGGTTATAGCATGCGGTTTAAGTGATCATTGACAGCTTCCCCCCCCCCCCATCTATGTATATACTCGCATTTTAGACTCTGTTACTAACTGTATATCTGTAGACTTGGTATGTCTTAAATGTCCGGTTAGGATGTATTAGAACAAAATCTAAAATGAAAATTGTAAATAAGCAATCTGTATGTAAAAAAACCACCTGTATGTAAATTGTTAATAAGCCATCTGTATGTAAAATATGTCTTATATGTCTTAAATGATATGATGAATTGAAAATGGGGGACCCTGATGTAAACAAGACGAAAGTCTTTCTCTGGTCTGCATCCCCTTAACAATTGTATGTTTTGAGCTGTACTGTACTGTACCCAATATACAAGCTGTTAATAAACTTTTCAATCAATCAATCAATCACACAAATCTAAAAAAAAAAAGAAAAAAAAAAGGGGGGTGCTAACAAGCAGATCCAGAATTGTTGCTCCTATTACATCATTGACAACGTGACACGTCCCAACCTATCGTCTCCGTATACAGTCGCAGCTGTGTGTCTGTTTATTCAGCAGGATGTCTGCAGGAGGCACTTAGAGTAAAGTTGTTATATATATAATACATATAATGGCACTGTTCTAGCGGTAAACACTTAAGAATGAACATGTCAAGCTATGTGCTGTATCAGAAACAATGCGCCACATGTTTTGGGAGTAATATGCTCTGTGTTTACATTAGCAAGCATGTTAACACTCAGAGCTAACCATGGAGCTAACGCTGTAGGCTACTCGAGAGAATATGTGTAACGTAATGTTCTTGTGGTAAACCCTGCGGGAGAGAAAGGTTTGAGCTCCGTACTGTTTCAGAAATAATGCTTGAAGTGGTTGGGAGCATAATATGGCATTTAATCAATGCAGCGTTTGGCTGAGTTTCTCCCAGTAGAAAACTCTCTTAGCAGAGGAAAGTTGCATGTTGCTACAAAGGGGCGTGGCTAGCAACAGCCGTTCCATTTAAAGCAGAATCAGCCTTTTTGGAACAGGGCTGGAATAGAGGGTTTGAGCAGTATGAGGCATGGCTAAAATGGGTGATCTGTTTGGTATTTTAAGCAAAAAAGGTCACAGACATGTTTTGTATAGGTACAGTATGGCCCTACAATATATTTTTCAAGTATAGCATAATAGGTCCACTTTAAATAAAATCCAGAATAAATGCCTCAATGTCAAGCAATCAATTTAGTGTAAATAATCTTGTTATCTTAAAGGACTGAGTGACTGATAAATGTTTGCATTTAATGGCCTTAATCTTGATTTGTCCAAGTATGCACCAGACAACACATAGTGAACATAGTGAGACAACACATAGTGAATTAATTATAGTGCTGTCAAAGTTAACATGTCAACGCCTGCGATTAATTAGTTTGACCTCAAATTCAAGTAGTTTATACAAGTATACGTAAATACTAGCATTTTTAACGTGTGATTAATTAGGATTAATAACGATTGTCTCTGTAATTAGGAATATCACATTGTCCAATCGATTAGCATCATTAGTATTTATCAGCCTGTCCTCCTACAAAAAACGACCATATAGGTCGATTGTTCAGTAGCTAAATACGACCCAGAGTCACGTTTTAAAGTGTAGCACCTCTAGTGGTCGTGTAAGAAACAACATCATCCCGTTGATCACAAACGCTCTGGAGGGTCGTTTATTCACCAATAACCCTCTCTGGAAAATCCTAAATTGTGGAATAGTTTGGCCATTAAAATGCTTTTTTATTAGATTTCTAGCGAGAAGTGTATATTGTACTTTTATAATCTACGTCCAGTGGATGTGTAGCCTAGGATCTATAGTTTGATAGATATTACGAAGATGATTTGAGGTCTCGCCAGGAGCTCTTTTAAATGGAATGGAACCACAAAAGACTATCCAAAACTGGACTCTGACTGGTCCAGCTAGCCCTCCCCCCACCAGAATTACACATGCTGGCTATTGTGTGTTTCGCACAACACAGTCTCACTCCCTGATAGTCCAATAACGACGCTTGGTCAGGTCCTTTGGCGTGCAGTTGTGACGCGCCGAGTCTCCTTCAGCTTCATAAACGGATGCAAAGAGCTTTGAACTGATTGCAATGTATTCCCATCGGCGGCGGTATTTGACGCTCATGGAAGCACCGCATTGGTCATTGTCGGCGGCAGTTAAATGCAATGTGAGCGTCCATCCCCATTGGATAACGGAGGATTTTACACCCGGAAGTAAATATTCTCCTCACTGTCGATTGATTTTACAGTGATATCTGCACTACTCATCAACTCAAAAACACCAGATTATTCTTGTTAATTACACAACATTGATTGGTTTAAATTGTGTACAATGCTTTTGTATTTTTCCCCTTCGATTCGGAGAAACAAATATTTTTTCAGAGTTTAGGATGGCCGAAGACACTACACTTTGTCCACAGTGGCCAAAGTCCTTTGGCCATTATATAATGTGTTTTTACTGTATTTATTCTTATTTTATTTTATTTTGTAAAGCACTTTGAATTGTCCAGATACCAGTGTTTGTGCAGATTGTTTGTATTTTTCTGATGAGAGCTGAAATTCATTTTTTGGTATTAGACATGGAAAGTTTATTTGTTGAGCATCTTCATACCTTTAATGTTGTTAAGCAGCATCAAACCTGATGCACTGCAATTTCATAAGCCTTTTAATCTGCAAGTGACAATGACACCCTTTGTTATGTTGTCTTAGACAGCTATGTGCTGTAATTTTTATTTCTCCCTCTGGCATTTTTTTTTTTAGTACTGAAACATTGGGTGTGTGTGTGGGTGTGTGTGTGGTCCAAAATTGCCTGGCACGGCAGGCAACAAACAACCTTTTTGGACCTCAACTGCCACAGAGGGTTATTTTTATTTTTGTAGATATACATTTTTGCTGTTGAACAATATTGAATGTTGGTTGAATTGAATATTGGGAGCATTTGTCAGTCTTAAGAGACATGGAAAGTTTTTTTGTTGAGCATCTTCATGCCTTTAATGTTAAGCAGGATAGTCTTTCAGTCATCAAACCTGATGCACTGCAATTTCATAAGCCTTTTGATCTGCAAATATCTGCAAGTGCCAATGACACCCTTGTTTATGTTGTCTTAGACAGCTGTGCTGTAATTTTGTTTTTCTTCCTCTGGCATTGTTTTTGTAGTACTGAAACACTGGGTGTGTGTGGTCCAAAAAGGTTTGTTGCCTGGCACGGCAGGCAATTTGTCAGTCTTAAGAGACATGCCACCATTCAAACAAAGCACTTGTCATATATGCTGATATCTGAAATGATTTATTGGTCATTGTAACTTTTAACACCAGTTTGTTGTACATCCTAATACCAATACACTACATTTGACACTAGATTAGTGTTCATTGTGAACTCCCAGGGTTGAGGATGCAACACCAGTATAATGTGCATTCAACACTCGCTCAGTGTATATTTCTAACTCTTAAAGGTATTAGATGGGATAAATTGTATCACTACTGTAGTGTTACTCTACACCAGGACAGTGTAAAATTGCAACGTTATTAGTGTACATGTTTAACTCTTAAAGGTGTTAGATGGGAGAAGATGTATCACTACTGTAGTTTCACTCTACACCAGGACAGTGTAAAATTGAAGCTGCAGGTGTTCACATCTTACACTCTTAGTGTTGGTATAGTAACACTGTGATAGTGTTATATTGTCAACACTTTGGAAAGTGTTAATTTAACACTTTGCTGGTGGTTTCCATATAAACTCTTTCATAGTGTTACAATTAACTACATGGGTGTTGAATTTTAGATTTCAAATTTGCTGTGAACCCTGACAAATATGTCATGGGGGGGGTTCCTCAAGGCTCCACCTTAGGACCTTTGCTTTTTAATATCTATATGCTACCACTGGCTCAAATGATTAAAAACAGCGATCTAAGCTATCACATATATGCAGACGACACCCAGATTTATTTTAAAATTACACCGGGAGACTACTCTCCGATTAGAACACTGAGCAAGTGCATTGAGCACATCTGGATGACTCAGAACTTTCTCCAATTGAACAAACAAAAAGCTGAGATCATTGTTTTTGGAGCAAAGAAGGACCGATTAAAAGTAATCGCAGAGCTTCAGTCGGCAGACTACAAAGTAACTCATAAAGCTAGAAATCTAGGTGTAGTGATGGACTCAGACCTGAATTTTAACAGTCACATTACAACAGTCATTAGGTCTGCATACTACCACCTGAAGAACATATCTAGGATTAAAAAACTAATGTCGCAACAGGATTTAGAAAAACTTGTCCATGCTTTTATTTTCAGTAGACTCGACTACTGCAATGGTGTATTCACAGGGCTCAGAAAAAAAATCCATCAGAAAGCTGCAGCTGATCCAGAACGCTGCTGCTCGAGTCCTCACTAACATTAAAAGAGTGGATCACATCAGTCCGGTTCTGAAGTCTTTACATTGGCTTCCAGTCGACCAACGAATTAATTTTAAAATACTATTGCTAGTTTTTAAATCACTAAATGGCTTAGGACCGAGGTATATAAACGATCTCCTGCATAACTATGAACCATCCAGGAGTCTCAGGTCCTCTGGGTCGGGTCTGCTCTCTGTTCCAAGAATAAGAATTAAACATTTAATTGAGCTGTTCATACGCCTCGCCTCGCCTCGCCTCGCCTCGCCTCGCCTCGCCTCGCCTCGCCTTGCCTATAAAAGCTGACAGCCAGAGTCTCCGCTGATATTCAGAGGTTTTGACCCCGGCTGGAAACAGGACAGGTAGGAGCATCTTATCTCAGCGTAATGTTTCTTAAAGGATCTTGTCTCACTGTTGCTGCACATTTGTAATACTTATTGGTTTGCTACTTTAAAAAAAAAGAAAGTTTATATTTGCATAGTTTTTGAAAGTGCATTGTGTTCTCCTAATGGAAGTGTTTTGAGCCATTGTGGTGCGTTTGCACGGGTTGGCCACCATAATCATTCAGATTAAATAATGCTGCAATTTAGTTTGTTGGTTTTTTCTCATGTCATTGACTAAATAATATTTGTGGCTGTCATTTTAAAACCACATTTGGCAGTGGCAGTGACTTGTACACATGTTTAAGTATGATTTCAGGAATTCTACTGTAGAGATGCCTATATGTTTTAAATGCAATTAATATGTATTTCTAAGCAGGAAGTCACACTGCAGATATGGAGCTTTTGAGTGAGTTAGCAGAACTAGGTGATTCAATTGAATCATCGATTGTTAAAATAACACCAACACATCGTCAGTGCACCATCGAGCTTAAAAATCAGAGCTCCAAATACACTCTTGGCAACCCCAGGTAAATGGAATGTTATTCTTAATATATTTTAAAATTTTGAATCCGTTCTCATATTGTAAAGATGATTTCTTATATTTCTCATTCTAGAGTGTACATGGATAGTGGACGCTGCACCGTTCCTCTGGCCCCCAGCATTAAGCCAGACTCATCTGGGGAGGCGGTGTTCGTCAAGACTCCAAACACCGCCCGAGGAGCTGTCGGCATGTTCACCTATGACCTCATCGATAATTCTACGAAACAGTGTTCTAAGAAAATAGCTGTGCTCTACAAGGTGCCCTTTGACATGAAGTTGAACTCAGTTGGGTATGCAGTGGGAGAATTAGACGTAAGCAAAGAGTGTAACCGTGATCTTTACCGTGAGATATCCAAACAAAAAAACATGACACTTGTAAGCGGCAAAGCAAAAGGCCCCAGTCTGAAACATGAAAGTGAAAATGTCACCGTCTTGGCTACAATGTCTAAATGCAACACAGCTGTCATTAAGGTGCAAGTGAGTGACAGCTGAGAAAAGCTTCAGTGATAGATAATATGGGTAATGTTGCGCTAATAGTCTCAGCTAATGCAATACGATACACCATACATAATAAAGACAATCTTCATTGCCAAAAACTACACTGAAACATTTGTGCATATGACAATAAAACCTTTGAATCATTGACTGTTGAATCTTTAATAATTGTTAATATGATACATGTTATAAGTGCTGAATGTTGGTGGCAGCATGGTAAAAGTTAGATGATAGGCACAAGCCAGCCTGAATCCTTTTTGAAGTAGGAGGGATTTAGCCTAGCGCTAACCAGTAGTAGGATCTATAAGGCAAAGCCAAAATATGTTATAACTGTGAGTTTTCCATTTACACATTTGACTGCTTGATTTGAACACCTTCCAGGTTGTTGCCATACATACTTGTGAAATAATCAATGTACTTTATCCTGTGGAAACAGCATCATTGAGTATCATAAAATATAAATAAACAAGGTTGCCTATGCTCGCATTCCTCTGATTTCACTTGCTTAACCTGATCAACAACAACAACATGCCACAAATTCTGTTCAGCAACACACACAACTACAAACAAGGATGGATGCCAGTAAATGTAAGCAGCAGTGGACAAATATTTTCAAAATAAATCAGTACACCATTTTAGATATAAGTGAAAGAGCGATTAAACCAACACACTCTCACTCCCTAAGCGTCCAGGAGCGACGTTTGGTCAGTGTCCGTGGCGTCCAGTTGTGACGCTCCTAGGCTCCTTCAGCGTCATAAAGGGACGCAAATAGCTTTCAACTGATTGCAATGTATTCCCATCTGCGGCGGGATTTGACGCTCATGGAAGCACGGCATTCGTTTGTGTCGGCTGCCCTTAAAGGCAATGTGAGCGTCCATTCCCATTGGATAACGGAGAATTGTACACCCGGAAGTAAGTATTCCTCTTACTGTCGATTGATTTTACAGTGATATCTGCACTACTCATCGACTAAAAAACACCAGATTATCCTTGTTAATTACACAACATTGATTGGTTTAAATTGTGTGCAATGCTTTTGTATTTTTCCGCTTCGATTCGGAGAAACAAATATTTTTTCGGAGTAAAGGATGGCAGAAGACACTACACTACCCAGAATCCCCAGCTATCGTTTGGACTACACCATGTACTCTGAATGCTGCGACGCAGCACCTGAGATTACTTCCAAAAAGTTGTTCACGTTCTCAATTTTTTACGTTTAACGTTATATTCGTTCGGTACACTTCGGTACACACCTGTACCGAACCGAAGGGCCCGTACCGAATAATTTCGGTACGGGTACGTGTACCGTTACACCCCTACGAAATAGTGTATGTGAAATCAACCTCACAATAAGATGCGTATATTACAATTATTAATGTCATATTTCAAGAGATTCCTCTCTGAAGAACCAGCACCTTACCGTGGTAGAGAGGTTTGTGTGCCCTGATGAACCTGGGGGCTGTGTTGTCTGGAACCTTGTGTTCCTGGTAGGGTTTACCATGGCAAATTGGTCTCAGGCAAGGGGCCAGACTAAGATTGGTTCAAAAGACCTCATGAAAGACGACACAAGAAGTGAGGATACCCGGCCCGGAGGAAGCCCGGGGTCCCCTTCTGGAGCCAGGCCCAGAAGGAGGACTCGTCGGCGAGCGTCTGGTGGCCGGGCTTGCCACGGAGCCCGGCCGGGCCCAGCCCGAAAAGGCAACGTGGGCAACACCTCCGCTTCTCCGTCCCGCGGGCCCACCACCTACGGGAAACATCGATGGGGTCGGGTGCGCTGCCAGAAGGGTGGCAGTGAAAGCGGAGGGTCTCGACGGACCAGACCCGGGCGACAGAAGCTGGCTTTGGGGACGTGGAACGTCACCTCTCTGGGGGGGAAGGAGCCGGAGCTTGTGCGGGAGGTGGAGCGTTACCAGTTGGATCTGGTTGGGCTCACCTCTACGCACAGCGTCGGCTCTGGAACCTTACTTCTGGATAGGGGTTGGACTCTATTCTTCTCCGGAGTTGCTCAAGGTGTGAGGCGCCGGGCGGGTGTGGGGATACTCACAAGTCCCCGATTAGGTGCTTCGTTGTTGGAGTTTACCCCAGTGGATGAGAGGGTCGCCTCCCTACGCCTGCGGGTTATGGGGGGGGAAAACTCTGACTGTTGTGTGTGCTTATGCACCCAACAGCAGTTCAGAGTATACGGCCTTCTTGGAGACCCTGGAAAGAGTCCTGTATGGGGCTCCTGAAGGGGACTCTTTAATCTTGCTGGGAGACTTCAACGCACATGTGGGCAATGATGGAGACACTTGGAGGGGCGTGATTGGGAGGAACGGCCCCCCTGATCTGAACCGGAGTGGTGGTTTGTTACTGGACTTCTGTGCTAGTCATGGATTGGCCATAACAAACACCATGTTCGAACATAAGGATGCTCATAAGTGTACGTGGTACCAGAGCACCCTAGGCAGAAGGTCCATGATCGATTTCGTTATCGTATCATCGGACCTGAGGCCGTATGTTTTGGACACTCGGGTAAAGAGAGGGGCGGAGTTGTCAACTGATCACCATCTGGTGGTGAGTTGGGTCGAGTGGCGGGGGAAGCCTCTGGATAGACCTGGTAAGCCCAAACGTGTAGTTCGGGTGAACTGGGAACGTCTGGAGGAGGCCCAAGTTCAGGAGGCCTTCAACTCACACCTCCGGCGGAGCTTTTCGGGCATTCCTGTGGAGGTTGGGGACATTGAACCAGAGTGGTCGGTGTTCAAAGCCTCTATTGCCGAAGCCGCGGCGGGGAGCTGTGGTCTCAAGGTCCTAGGTGCCTCAAGGGGCGGTAACCCTCGAACCTCCTGGTGGACACCGGTGGTCAGGGAAGCCGTCCGACTGAAGAAGGAGGCCTTCAGGGATTTGTTATCCCGGGGGACTCCCGAGGCAGTTGCAAGGTACCGACAGGCCCGAAGGGCAGCATTCTCATCCGTGGCTGAGGCAAAGCAGCGGGTGTGGGAGAAGTTCGGAGAAGACATGGAGAAGGACTTTCGGGCGGCACCAAAGTTGTTCTGGAAAACTGTCCGACACCTCAGGAGGGGGAAGCAGGGAACCATCCAAGCTGTGTACAGTAAGGATGGGACGTTGTTGACCTCAACTGATGGAGTGTTAGGGCGTTGGAAGGAACACTTTGAGGAACTCCTGAACCCGACAACCCCGCCCTCTATGTTAGAGGCAGAGCTGGAGTATGACGGGGGATCAACACCAATCTCCCGGGGGGAGGTCACTGAGGTCGTCAAACAACTCCACAGTGGCAAAGCCCCGGGGGTGGATGAGATCCGCCCGGAAAGGCTGAAGGCTCTGGGTGTTGAGGGACTGTCATGGTTGACACGTCTCATCAACGTTGCGTGGAAGTCGGAAACAGTACCGAAGGAGTGGCAGACCGGGGTGGTGGTTCCCCTTTTTAAAAAGGGGGATCAGAGGGTGTGTGCCAATTACAGAGGCATCACACTACTCAGCCTCCCTGGGAAAGTTTACTCTAAGGTACTCGAAAGGAGGGTCAGGCCGATTGTCGAACCTCAGATTGAGGAGGAACAATGCGGATTCCGTCCTGGTCGTGGAACGACGGATCAGCTTTTTACTCTCGCAAGGATCCTGGAGGGGGCCTGGGAGTACGCTTATCCGGTCTACATGTGTTTTGTAGACTTGGAGAAGGCGTATGACCGAGTTCCCAGGGAGTTACTGTGGGAGGTGCTGCGGGAGTATGGGGTGAGGGGGTCTCTACTCAGGGCCATCCAATCTCTGTACTCCCAAAGCGAGAGCTGTGTCCGGGTCCTCGGCAGTAAGTCGGACCCATTTCCGGTGAGGGTTGGCCTCCGCCAGGGCTGCGCTTTGTCACCAATCCTGTTTGTAATATACATGGATCGGATTTCGAGGCGTAGTCATGGGGGAGGGGGTCTGCAGTTCGGTGGACTAAGGATTGCACCACTGCTTTTTGCAGATGATGTGGTTCTAATGGCTTCATCGGTCTGCGACCTTCAGCACTCACTGGATTGGTTCGCAACCGAGTGTGAAGCGGCTGGGATGAGGATCAGCACCTCCAAATCTGAGGCCATGGTTCTCAGCAGGAAACCGATGGACTGCCCACTCCAAGTAGGGAATGAGTCCTTACCCCAAGTGAAGGAGTTCAAGTATCTCGGGGTCTTGTTCTCGAGTGAGGGAACAATGGAGCGTGAGATGGGCCGGAGAATCGGAGCAGCGGGAGCGGTACTGCAGTCGCTTTACCGCACCGTTGTGACGAAAAGGGAGCTGAGCCAGAAGGCAAAGCTCTCTGTCTTCCGGGCCATTTTCGTTCCTACCCTCACCTATGGTCCTGAAGGATGGATCATGACCGAAAGAACGAGATCGCGGATACAAGCGGCCGAGATGGATTTTCTCCGCAGGGTGGCTGGTGTCTCCCTTAGGGATAAGGTGAGAAGTTCGGTCATCAGGGAGGGACTCGGAGTTGAGCCGCTCCTCCTTCGCGTCGAAAGGAGCCAGTTGAGGTGGTTCGGGCACCTAGTTAGGATGCCACCTGGGCGCCTCCCTAGGGAGGTGTTCCAGGCACGTCCAGCTGGGAAGAGACCAAGGGGTAGACCTAGGACCAGGTGGAGGGATTATATCTCTTCGCTGGCCTGGGAGCGCCTTGGGATCCCCCAGTCAGAGCTGGTTGATGTCGCCAGGGAAAAGAAAGTTTGGGGCTCTCTGCTGGAACTGCTACCCCCGCGACCCGACCACGGATAAGCGGGAGAAGATGGATGGATGGATGGATATTTCAAGATGATTACTTAGATATTACAATATGGTTGGTTGAGCTGGAGTTCATTATTGAGCTTACACGTTAACGTCACAGTCATCTGAAGAACGAACCCAAACCTTGTTGTTTTTATTAATTGCATTACCAAATGGGTATCAAATAAACAGTAAGCATTGGTAACACAACTTCCAGTAAAATAAAAAGGACCCTGACTTGGACAATACACAATCCAACATGTTCAACAGAAGAGAATCAGTTATATTGTTTGTACACATGGTACATATATATCTGTTTGTTTAAGGTGTCCAGGTGATTCAGACAGGCTGGACCAGAGAGTGAGAGACAGAACTGGACTCCTCAC